ATGATACAGCTATTTCCTAAGCAAACAAAAGGATTTAATTTAATTTCTTGCGTTTTCTTTTTTTTTTTGGTCCTTCTATCTCTTCTGTCGTGTATAAAATCATTCCTCTTCACATGAACTCAATGACTTAATTACTCCCCCCTACTATTTTAGCATGAAAAGCAATCCACAGAAATATTGCTGAAACGAGTTCAGGAGCATTCACACACACACACACACACACACACACACACACACACACACACAGAGGCAGAATGCAGCACACGCTACAAAATCCAACCAGAAGAGACATGCTTTGCATCTCCCACAGGAAGTGATGCTGCTGTACTAGCAAAGCAGGAGAGAGAAGAAAGTTCCTCCTTGCCCAGCAACAGCTCAGCCAATGACAGAGTGCCATAACCCAGCAAATGAAAAGACGCTATACTCTGAACTCCATTTCCTCCAATGCACTCTGTTTATAATAACCCCTCTGCACTTCATCGAAGGGTTTCTTTCTTCCGAAGAAATGTGGGCATTTTTTTTTCACCAGGAGACCACACTTCCTAAATTGCTCTTTTGTTGTTGCCAAATACACCCATTTTCCTGCTGAAATAATTGGCTGCATACTTGTTTGAGGTCCACAATGGAACAGTGGCAAAATTGCAATACCCGTGTTATTGTTAACAGCTGACTGACTGAATGTCACTATGATTTATTTGCAGCTCTTTCTGCCCTTAGGAGCTGGCCCACTAGGGATACTTATTTGCAAGTCACCTGAAATAATTGTTCTCTGTGTAGTTTTGCCACCAACTTGTTTCAATTTATCTTCTCCTTTTGGGTGGAGGGCAACTGTGTGTGTGTGTGTTACACATTACACATAAACCCCTGTACCCAGGGGCTAATCCTGGCTCCACTGGGAGATCACATTGTGACAGGGGAGACAGGAAACTAACCCAGGGCTTCTTCGTACAAAGCCCGTGCTTTGAGCCATGTCCCTGGCCCCATATCTTCATTTTATTTGCGGGGGGAGTAGGATTGTGGTTTTGGGGCCACAGCTGGTGGTGGTACTCAGGCCCATACTCCCAGTTCTGCAGTCAGTGATCACTCCTGGCAGGTTCAGGGGACCCAACAGGGTGCTGGGGATCAGGGATCAAACCCCAGTCAGCTGCATGCAAGGCAAGCACCTACCCACCGTACTATCTCTCTGGTCCCATATCTTCAGTTTTGAAGAAATGCTTCATCTTTTATATATATACATAATATTTTATCTTTAATATTTTTTTCCTTTTATTTTTAATTGAATCACAGTGAGATACAGTTACAGTTTTAATATATTTAAAACAGGAGGGGGAATGGAAGGGAGGGAGGCAGAGAGAGAAAGAGAGAGAGAAAAGGAGAGAGAAAGAGAGAGAGAACAAAGAGCTGAGCACAGTCTTTCTCTGCAAAAGGCCCAATACCCCAGCACCACCAGGAGCAAAACCCACCCTGGCCTTTCCCTTTTCCCAGCACAGAGCCAGGAGTAGCCCTGGAGCACCACCAGATGCAGTCCCCAAACAAAGAGAAAAGTATTTCAATCAATTTTATGGCTCTAGTGTGGATGCGTAGTCTCTTGTCACTTAAATAACATAAAATCGATGGTCCGGGTTTTGTGGAGGTCTCTGCAGAGTGGCTATTATCCAGGGTCTACCAGGAAGGCCCCTCTTCAGCTCGTCAGCAAGAACTGCAGTGAACTCTGGGTCACTCAGGGCTGGACAGTATGTTCTGAGATGTGGCACTCACATGGCTGGTCTTCGATGTACCCTCATCTACGGGGAGCCTAACTGCTCTCTCAATACACTGGAAAGAGAAAAATGGAAGCCCAATCAGACTGGCTGCATGTAAGGCATACCCCCTGTGCAACCTCTCTGGCCCTCACTCTGTCTTTCATTTTTATTTTTTGTTTTTGGGTCACACTCAGCTATGCACAGGGGTTCCTCCTGGCTCATGCAGTCAGGAATTACTCCTGGCGGTGCTCGGGGGACCATATGGGATGCTGGGAATCGAACCCGCGTCAGCCGCATGCAAGGCAAATATCCTACCCGCTGTGCTCCAGCCCCCTCACGTTGTCCTTTAGAACCTCATCTGGACATTGCATACCTTCACTTGTGCCAAATTCCACTGATTCCTCAGAGGGAATTTCAGGAGACCATCTGGTGTGCCAGAGATTGAACCTGGGTCAACCGCATACAAGACAATCTCTCTGCTCCTCCTTCCTCCTTTAAGAAGCCAATTTTATTAGTTCTTGCTGCATCTTGCCATTGTTTGTTCTGAAATATATCAGAAAACTAGGGGTACATATTTATTTTCCCTAAATACTTCTCTTCTCGATAACTTCTTTGCTTTGGGGCCCAATGTCTAGTGATTCTTGGGGGGTACTCCAGGCAGGGCTCAGCGGCTCAGTGCATGAAATTGAACCATGCCCCGGCAGGTAAAGCAGTACCCCAGCATTTTGAGCCATCTCCCTAGACTATGGTTTAACTGTTCCTTGTCTTTTTCCAGTAAACAATATATCCTAAAGATCACCTAACAACAATACAAAATGCTCTTACTTCCTTTTATAGTTTCATTAAATTCCATGATAAAGATATACCATAGCTTAAATAATATTTTGATGGCTTCATCATTTATTAATTCCACTGCCATTTTTGGACAGCTAAGTTGCTTATAATTTCCATTATTATAAATAAACTGCAATGAATATATTTGTTATACAGGTTTTTCTGGAAGATCTTTATCTTAAATTCATAGTAGCACTGTAGCACTGTCCTCCTGTTGTTCATCGATTTGCTAGAGTGGGCCCAGTAACGTCTCCATTGTGAGACTTGTTGTTACTGTGTTTGGCATATCAAATACATCACGGGTAGCTTGCCAGGCTTTGCCGTGCGGGTGAGATACTCTCGGCAGCTTGCCGGGCTCTCTGAGGGGGCAGAGGAATCGAACTCGGGTCGGTCATGTCAGCTGCGTGCTATTGCTTACCCGCTGTGCTATCGCTCCAGCCCCTTAAATCTTAAATTCATAGATACAAATTTAAGAACTCAAAGATCTGAGTAATTTTCATGATGTTTATTGACTGTTAAATTAGTAGACAGAGCAGCTGCATTGCAATAATACCTATTAAGAGGGAGTGCGCATTTTCTCTGTATTCTTACATTAATGTTTTATATTCTTATATGAATGCTCTGTATAAATTATTATATGAATGCTCTGTATTATATTGGTTGTAATAATATTTTGATAGGTATACCTAAGGGTATTCTTGTGGTGTCCATCTATTTTCACTTTATGCTTTAGTACTAAGTTTACTTTATTACTCTGTATTTCAAACGTTAGTTAGGTTAGAAACTAATGTTAACAGGGAAATTTCCCCAGTTGGTGGGTTCTGGCTCTCTGAAGCAAAAGGAATCACTCTGTTAGAAAGTTGGCTTTGGGGCTGGAGCGACAGCACAGCGGGTAGGGCATTTGCCTTGCATGTGGCCAACCCGGATTCGATTCCCAGAATCCCATATGGTCCCCTGAACACCACCAGGAGTAATTCCTGAGTGCAGAGCCAGGAGTAACCCCTGAGCATTGCCGGATGTGACCCAAAAAGCAAAAAAAAAAAAAGTTGGCTTTTACTTCTCGAAAGGAAGAACAACATAAATGTCCAAAGGGGTATTGCCTAGACCTTTTGCAGACCAAGAAGCTGGATTCCCAAAATGGCACTGTACTAAGGTCCAGGTGGTGATGCAACACGTGTCTGTGGCTTTGTTCTGCGAGGTGAACTAGGGGAGGCAGTAGAAGCTGTTAAAAACCTTAAAGTTTGATGCAAGGGCTAGAATTGATAGTACAATGCTAGGTAAGGTGTTTGCCTTGCATGTGACTGACCTGGGTTTGATCCCTGGTATCCCATATGGTTCCCTGAGCCCACAAGGACTAATTCTTGAATGTAGATCTAGGAGTAACCCCTGAGCACTGCTGGGTGTGACCCCTCAAAAAACAAAACAAAAGAACAAAAGTCTAATGCAAGTCTTCGGCCCTGTAGTTAACACAATGATAACAAACTATATGAACAATGATAAGGTAATAAGACAACGACAATGATACTTATATAGATCATTATTATTTGTAGCTCTTTTATTTTTGTAAATTATTAGCATGTTTTGTTTTGTTTTTTGGGCCACACCCTGTGGTGTTCTGGCACTGTGCTTAGGAATTATTCCTGGCAGTGTTCAAGAGACTATGAGGTGCCAGGGATTAAACCTGGGTTGGCTGTGTGCAAGGCAAGTGTCCTACTGATGAATTATTGCTATGCCTCCCTCATAACGTTAGCTTTAAGTGCGTGGGGATTTAGAGCTCTCTTTCTTTCTTTCTTTCTTTCTTTCTTTCTTTCTTTCTTTCTTTCTCCCTCCCTCCCTTCCTTTTTCTCTTTCTTTCTTTCTTTCTTTCTATTTTCTTTCTCTCTTTTTTCTCTTTCTCTCTCTCTCTTTCTTTCTTTCTTTCTTTCTTTCTTTCTTATATAATGCATTTTTATTAAAGCAAGAGTTTTATCCAAATTCCATTTTTGGGGCTCAATTATCAATTCTGCTATTTAAAACAGAAGTCACCTTCAGAGCTAGTTCACTGTAAAGAGTTACAGGGGCTGGAGCGATTGTACAGTAGGTAAGACTGTACAATCGCTTGCACGCGGCCGACCCAGGTTCGATTCCCAGCATCCCATATGGTCCCCTGAGCACCGCCAGGAGTAATTCCTGAGTGCAGAGCCAGGAGTAACCCCTGAGCATTGCTGGGTGTGACCCCAAAAGCCAAAAAAAAAGAGAGGATTACAAAATGAAAGGAAGGAATGCTTTAGATTGGTGTCCTTTGCTAAACATTTTTTGGGAGGTGGGGTGGTGTGGGGAGGGAGTTTGAGACACACCCAGGTATGCTGGGAATCAAACCTGGGTCGCCTGAGTGCAATGCAAGCACTTTCCCAGCTGTACTATCCCCGGCACCAAAATTCTTTCTAAAATTAAGGAACCTTAATAAATGTGCTTGTCATATTGCAGGGCAGCTTTGCTAATCTCCTCTGTATTGTTACAATTCTAATGCATGTGCTGCCAAAGCCAGCACTATAGACACTTTTCTGAGTTAGTATTTAGAACTCACAGTGGTTATAGTTATGCAAGGCTATAATGTCTGCAAAAATGGCAAAATACAGCAATGTTTATATAAGGTATACAGAATGCCTTCAAATGATTTAAATCATTTTTAGTATGATAAATTCATATATTTTAAGATAGTAAAATATGCATGCTATTCTGTCAGTTTTGCAGCATTCTGGCTTGACTTTTGCTATAATAGTTCTAATTATAATAATTACAAAAATAATGTGTCATAATTCATAGAATAATATAATAGCAGATGTTATTAATTTCTTTTTCACTAAGAAGATCTGCAATATAAAGTACATAGTCAGGAAGTGTTTCCAAAACAACACGGCCATGTTTTCCAATAAGAGAGCTATGGCATATATTTCTAAATTCACATCATCATTCTTCACTGGGTTAATTAGCAAAATGATGTTTTCTCCTTCTTTTACCTTTCAGAGTAATATTTTAAAAACATGTTGGCACTTCCACAGAGTGCAATTTATAGGTCATAAAGATATTCACATCATAAAGCACTTTTGCATAACTGGTTTGCTGATATTGTGAATACTAATTATAAATATATATTTAGGTCTTTTTAGAAACACCTCATCACTTTCCTGAAATACAACCAGATTCAGCAGCATAGCCCTTGGAGGGTTTCTGTGGGGGAGTGAGGAAGTAGAGGGGGTGCTATCACCAAGACCACTGGTGAATCATCAGTGTCATTGTTATCCATAAGTATTTCTAAGGCCTTAGGTGAAACACAAGGGCAAAATGCCCTGAAAAAAAGCTCTGAAATTCTTTTGGCCCACTGCATAAAAGGAACACAGTTAATTGGTGTATGTCATGTCTTGACCAGAAAAACAACTCAATTCAGCTAGAATTAGCCCTCATACTTTCCAGATAGCTCAAACCGTTCACAGTCCAGTTTTTGCACCACAAGACAAAAATTAGCAAAGATGGCTGACAAAAATCAATACAAAATGCAAATTCAAACTGGGCACTACTTAAGGACTATAAAACAGATAAAAATTAATGAGAATGTAAGAGGCCAAGGAGATGGATCAGATTTGAAGAGTTGGAGTGTACGCTTTGCATGTAGATACCCCAGATTCAATGAACTAAATGTTCAGCAATGTGGAATCTGTTTCAGTCAGACATATCCATGTGCAATTGGTCCAATATTTTTATGGAACTCTATTTGTGGTAGACATTGTTATTTGCATGTCTAATGTCCTTCCCACACTTCTATGTTAACATAACTCACAGCTCATTCACGGCAACAGTTGTTGACAGATCCAGACACAAAATCATGACAATCCTATTCTGTCTTTCCCATTTTTCCTTGCGTCTTAGAGATGGACAGAGGCACCAGCTCTGGCCAAGTGAAATATAAGAGGAAGTTGAAGTCACTTCTGAGAAAGTTTCTGTCTTCCTGTTAAAAAGGACAGATAATGTTCATGTTCTGTTAAGTGAGAATGACTCCTCTGTATTAAGCAAGAATCAGTTGGTTTTTCTGCTTTTCCAAGTTACGTATGCCCCTCACTGGAAGGTGGAGAGATAGGAGAGAGGGTAGGTCACTTGCCTTGCATGCAACTGATGAGGTTTGGATTCCCAGCACCCCATATGGTCTCCCTGGCCCCCAGAAGTGATCTCTGTGTGCAGAGACAGGGGGAAGTCCCAAGAACTGCTGGCTGTGGCTCCCAATAAAAACAAAATGAAAAGGTTCCTACTGAGGGTAGTTCTGTGAAGTGCTGCTCAGATGCCCCTTAAAGATATTCAGCTGGTGGGAGGGTGTGACAGGCTCATAAGCCCTCATCTGTCAGTGGTATCTGTGAACTGGCAACATCAATCGCTTTGCCCAGTGTCATGTTCCTTTCCTGGACATCACCCACCTCTAACACCAGCAGAGTATAAAGCTCCAACTTTCTTTCTCCTATATGGGACTGTATCTCAGGGCTCAGCTACAAAGCTGGTGCCCTTGTTGCTCTAAGCCATTGCCCAACAAGTTTTCTTGTCCAATCCTACTTGATTCCCTTCCCCCATAAATGTTGATCCTGAAAGCACAATCTAATAAACTTCCTGCACACAAATCTCTGTCTTTTGAGTCTGTTTCCTGGGAAACCCCACCCACAATACTACTGACAAATTTATTCACATGAAAAGATGTTCAAAATGGATTGCTAAATGACAAAACAATCCATTATAAAACAATACGCATGAGGCCAGGGAGATGACTCAAAGGACTGGAAAGCATGCTTTGCATGTTGCAGCCTTGAGTTTGATTTCTGCAACATATGGTCCCCTAAGTGTGGCCAAGAGTGACCCCTAAGTTCTGAGCCAGGAGTAACCCCAGAGCACGTCTGGGTATGAGCACACACATGTACACACAGACACAGACACACATGCACGCGAACAGCGTGTCATTCTGTTTTTCTTATTATACGGATGATTACATGTCTGCAGAGAAAAAATATATTGAAAACTTTTTGTTTTCTGTTTTGGGGTCACACCCGGCAATGTTTGAGGGACCATGTGGTGCCAGGCATCAAATGTGGGCCTTCTACAAGCAAAACATATGCTCCCACCCATTGAGAAATCAGCCCCCAAGCATTTTTTTCTTTTTGGGTCATACCCGGTGATGCTCAGGAGTTACTCCTGGCTCTGCACTCAGGAATTACTCCTGGCGGTGCTCGGGGAACCATATGGAATGCCAGGGATAGAACCCGGGTTGGCCGCATGCAAGGCAAATGCCCTATCACTCCAGCCCCCAAGCATTTTTTTTTAGTGCCATGTATCAAACCCAGGCATTATAAATAAATGTGAAGTGTGCATTCCACCACAAAGCCATAGACAGATAGATAGATAGATAGTTAGATAGATAGAAAAATCTCGACATATCTATATATGTCTACATATATCCCTGACCCCTGGAAAACATTTTAGGAGATAATGTAAGGGAACAATATAAGATCTTGTTATAGTAAAGTTTTTAAAAAAATATGACAAGAAGTGCAAACATGGGACCAGGGATATAGCTTTGCAGTAGAGCAGTTGTCTTGCATATATAAGCCCTTTGGTCCCTGGCATCTCTCTCTCTCTCTCTCTCTCTCTCTCTCTCACACACACACACACACACACACACAAACACAGAGCGAGATCAAGCCATAAAAGGCATGAAGAAATATTTATACTTTATTTTATTTATTTATTTTTCTTTTTGGGTCACACCCGGCGATGCACAGGAACGACTACTCCTGGCTCTGCTCTCAGGTATTACTCCTGGCAGTGCTCAGGGGATCATATGGGATGCTGGGAATCAAATCTGGGTCAGTCGCGTGCAAGGCTAACACCCTACCCGCTGTGCTATTGCTCCAGCCCTGAAATATTTATACTTTAAATACATCTAAATTAAAACTTTGGTTTATCTAGAGACCCCACAAGGGAAGGTGAAATCATAAACTATAAACAAGGAAACAATGTTTCATTAGAACTGGTAATTGTATCCAGAATGTACAAATCAATTGAAAAGTCAAACCCCGTAGAGGAGAGCGAGCAAAGAATATGAGAAGGTAGTCAGTTCACTAAAGGGGCTAGAGAGATAGTAGAGGGATAAGGCACCTGTCTTACACATGACTGGCTCTGGTTCAATCCCCAGCACTGCATATGATCCACTGGTGCGCCCCGCCCCCCCCCCAAACCCAAGAAAAAGGGAAAATATAAATGGCCAAACAAATGCTGAGCCTCTTGACATAATGATTCTTAAGAAATTTTAAAACAATTTTTTCATCCATTGCATAAACTTAAAAAAATTAAAATATCCAGTGCTGGTAAGAGCACAGGGATTCACACATTTGTACATAATATTGATAAACAAACTTTTCCTTTGTTTGGGAGGATAGAACTGGGTCGATGAGTGCAAGGCAAGAACCTTAACCCCTATACTATTGCTCTGACTCTAAAATACTTTTTGTATTTGTGTAGTTGGCTCACATCTTGGAAAGTAATATTTATTTGTTTCATTAATTAATTAATTATTATTTTTTACCATACCCAACTGTGCCCAGGGTTTACCCCTGGCTCTATGCTCAGAGAGCACTTTTGGTGGAGTTCAGGGGACCATATGGTCAGAGATGTAGCTCTGGTCAGTTGTGTGCAAGGCAAGCGCCTTACCTGCTTTTTACTATCTATCTGGTCTCAGGACACTAGTTTAAGAGTTTTCTTTATTTTATTGTTGGGAGGCTTATACTCATGTTATTTGGGAGCCTGCCTGACCTTCCTTCCTTCCTTCCTTCCTTCCTTCCTTCCTTCCTTCCTTCCTTCCTTCCTTCCTTTCTTTCTTCAATGCCAGGCACGTGTACTACCTCTGAGTCACAGCCCCAGCTTATTTCTTTTCTCTTAAACATGCTTTGAAGTATACAATGGGCTAGCAATGCTAAATGAATTCCTAAGTGTTTTTTTTAATGCTCTTATACTTAAATTAATTTTGAAATTTTATTTAGAGATTGTTTTCTAGGAGTGTATAACAATACATTCGATAGAGTGTGATTTGGTCTAGTGTTCGGTCTGGCAGAGCAGTGCTGTGCTAGTCAGGCCCAGTGGTACTGGGACTTACCAGGTCCAAATCCTGAGGTGCTCAGAGTGTCAAGCTGTGCTCGGGATCAAATGTGGAGCCTCGTGCATGCCAAGCTTATTGCTCCAGACCTTTTAACTCTCTCTCCCTGGACCCTCCTTAAGGGTTTCAAAATAAACACTCATGTCATCTGAAAACAGAGTTTTACAACTTATAAACAATGATTTATAGTTTTAGAAAACTATTAGCTCTGTAGTTGTTTTGTTTTGTTTTTGTTTTTTTTGCTGGGGGGGGTCTGTATGCCTTTTATTTTTCTTGAGTGGTTGCCCTGGGTCAAGCTTTAACTACAGTACTAAATAGAAGGGCATTCCATTTCTTGTTTGTTTTTTTGTTTGGGTGGTCACACC